GTAAAATCTGAAGCAAGAAATGGTAACTGTAGAGTGTCATTTAGTTCATTGTAAATTCAGCAAATGTTGATTAAATATGTATCAGATCTTGTTGTAGGTGCTGGGGATGTAAGGATAAATTGATTCGGCCTTCTTGTCCTTGCAAAACCCACATTTTTAGCATTTGTGCATACCTTGGGTCAGGTGTGTTAGTGCACACCTGTAATCCCARTGTCTTAAGAGGCTAAGGCAGGAAGGTCACAAGGCCAATCTCACCAACTTCACAAGACCCTGTCTCAAAATTAAAAAAAAATAAAAAGGGCTGGGGATATAGCTTAGTGGTAGAGAGCCCCTGGGTTCAAGAACCAGTACTACAACAAACAAACACTACTTACCACTTATCATCTGAACCTGTTAACTTTCAAGAGCAAAAAAGAATGGTATTTATAATTATTGCCTGGACTACAGATGTRAGGGAAGGTCATCATGGGCAAAAGTGGAGTATAAAGTTCTATATATTACTATGTCAAATTGAGCATTTATAAGAAAAGGAAATGGTTGAAAATTGTACTCATTATTTTAGAGAGGTGTTATTCGTGGTTTAAGTTTTCTCTTTTGTTTTTGAATCTCCAAATTTCTCCTAATGCATTTTAGAATTAAACAAAGTATGCCTTACAGTGCTTTAGAGTGAGAGTCATTAGACAGTTTTCCAACCTGCCAGCCTGATTCTTTTATGTATGGGGATATTGACATCCAAAAATGCTGTGGAGGCTGGAGGTGCAGCTCRGTGGTCAGAGCACTTGCTTAGCATGTGTTAGGCCCTGGGTTTGTTCCCCAACACCACAAAATTAAATAAAAAAAGAATAAAAATGCATTTTTAAGGGACGGAGCCTTGACTCAACATGACTAGACCAGGGGAGTAAGAATTTCCATCTTCTGATTTCCTTTCAAGRCWCTCAACTACTTCACCAAGCTGCCTTGAAGATGTCAATCTTGTAACTTGATGCTTAGATGTTTGTTTGGGTTTTTAAAATGGTCTGTACTTTGTTTTACAAGCCAGGATTTCTCAGGATCCTGTAATTCTGTATGTGTTGCTGAGCTCACTAAATATTTATGGAGGGAGGAAGAAATCTGAATAACACAAAAGCAAGAAATATCCTTAAATTTGAAACACTTGTCTCTGGAATGTTACCCCCTCATATGCTCATTTCCTCTGTGCTCTGCCACCAACACTTTTTCAGCACACAGTCTAGGAATCCGACTGGGAGTTCAATGTAGAAAGTCCCAGCTTCCCACTGATGACTAATTTTTAGTAAAGGTTAACTGTAGAGCTTCGGAATAGTTTCTCTTTTCAGTTGGCTAATGACTGATGAGGTAATCTAGGAGTACTAAGGCTTACTAGGAACACTTACAGAGAAAAGTTAGACCTTTAACCAGGTGTTGTATTTRCTAGGCCCTCCTCTTTTCATCCTTGGCCTTGCATGAGTAAAAAGCTAACTTGCATATATCCCTGGAGATTGCACTTGGTGTGTTTCTGTTACTTTTGTGCTACTGACAGGCTTTGATCAGGAGTTAATTAACTTATAAATCAACGGTGCCACCTGGTGGCCAGAGGATACATTTTGTGGTGCCCATACACTGCACCAGTTTTCATTTTTCATTGATTAAAGAAACAACAACAAAAAAAGTGAGCGGCATCTGATGCACTTTCATTAGTGAAATTTTGAACAGTGCTCGCTTAGTTTGTTTGGGCAGGAGCAGGAAAGCCATAAGATACTACAAGTCTCACATGGCAAACTGAAATGACTGTTCTCCCCATTGTTATTATGAAAGTTTCTCCAGGAAGCTTGGTCCTAAGTGGTAGGTGGTAAGTAATTCCCATGACCAATGCAAGCCTGTCTGTCTAGTCTCCTCTCCTGGGTTCCACCTTGGTTCTAGCAGTCAYTGGGGCAGCTCGTGGTTTCAGTGCTCCTCCCGTCTGACTCAGGGTGATCAGTCAGACACTTATCATGCTGCATCTAAGGCACTGGGTGATTCATAACTGTTTGAGGGGATCATATTCCTGTCTTCTTGAAAAGGTAGAAGTTCTCAGAAGGATATATGGCTACACAACCCTAAAAGCATACATGGAGGGATAAGTTGGAAAATTGGATCTTGGAAAACATTAAGAGGTTTTCCAAAATTGGCAAAGAGAGCAGACTTAAATCCATCACTTCCACGATAGCATGATGTTGCAACACCTTTGTGGCAAGTTTTCTGCTTAGCCAATTTGTGTACATAGACTTGGTTCAGATTGACAGGCTGTGGTCGAACTTAATTATAAGCAAAACAAAAAGCAGCTCAAAAGTGAGCTTATCAGGCTCACTCAGCACAGTGATTCTGAGGTCAGGATTTCCTAATATGGACATCTTCTAGGGAGCCGTTGGTGTAGAGAAATCTCTGTTTGCTCAAATATACTTCAGTCTTGAAGACAAAATTGAAATTTGTCATGTATCTGGTATTTAAGCAAACCTGCTTTCCTTTCTATACACTTCAACTGACTAAAAGCTTAAAGAAAATTACTTTTGATTCATTATCTCAGGCACTGAGAACCTCTAACAAGAAAGGTAAGTTTGTCTGAACCACATCACTCCCAGCCACAGGATTATTAAACAGTTGGATTTGCCAAACATGGCTTATGTACAGAAGGAATCAGAATGAGAATAAGGTTATTTTTTTCATTTCTAAGTAGAGCTAAGTGTAATGTATATTAATGTATTTTGTTAATTTCTGTGGTTTTCAGTAGCTCTTCCATCAGAGGYATGCTCTTCAACCTGTGAGTTGAGATTACTTTAAGATGTAAATAGTGAAGTGATTCCGCCCAGGATRGAGCCTAGACCCCGGTGCAGGGAACCTCAGTGTGGTTATACACAATGTCTCACCACAGCTCACTGCCAGTGCTGGGTGTTGATAATATGCATGTCTAGACTTACACAGGCTCTTGGATCAGTCTCTCAATGACTTAGGAAGTTTCAGCAGTTGGGCGTGTGTGGGTCATTATTACGTTCAAAAAGCTGGCACTGACATCCAAGTTTTCCTTTGTGCCTTTGAGCATGACTTCAGAATCAACAGGATGAAACTGTATCTGTTCCATAGTGTTGCTAAATAGAGATTGGGYCTGATAGCAATGCATTCAGTCTTTGAACATGCCTTTCCTCCTTTTATTTTGTGGACTCCTACTGGCATTCAGATTGTTTTCTGCCTTTATTGCCTTTTACCTAAACTAAGACACAATCCTGCCTTTAAATAAAATGTTGGGGGACTGGAGTGTAGCTCAGAGGTAGAACACGTGTTTAGCATATGCAAGGCCCTGGGTTCAGTTCCCAGTTTAAAAAAAAAAAAAAATTTAACTCATTAAGCATTTGTTATCCCCTGTGTGCAAAACTCGTAGAGATAAAGGTRATGTGGATCCTGTCCTCAAGGAGCTCTGAATCCAGTGAAAAAGAAAATGATAGATGGCATAAAACAAGTGACTGCCATGTCAGATCCTATTCACAGGGACAAAATGGTTCTTTCAAATGGAAAGTTTTGTAGGAGAACAAAAATTTGAGATAATCCTCGAAAAATTTGAGTTGAAAGCTAGGAGTATAGCTCAGTGGGAGACCATATGCTAGCATGCAGAAGCCCTGGACTCAATCCCCAGCCCCCACACACACAAACACACACACACATACACCCCCCCCACACACACACACACAGAGAATATGACTTGAATTATATACAGTGACAGAGAAAAGGATTTAGAAGAAAGAAGTCCTAGAGACAAAGAGCATGGAGCAAGGAAACTTGGGGAGTGTTGAAGGAATTATGCACAACCCATTATGTGGTTAAGGACAAAGGGTCAGATGAATGGAAAGGGACCAGGCAGTGGGGTATGGTAAATTTCATGGAAAGGAATTTGCACTGATTTGATAGATACAGGGAAGCCATCCTGTGTTTCTCAGCAGAGAAGGAGGTGTTCCCTTGAACTCCTGTGACATTCGTTGGTGTTGAAGATTTGTAACATACAACCGTTTGCTTCTGTTTAGTCTGTCTTTTCAGAAGTACACCCATCATCATATAGACYAGGATTTCTCAGCCTCAGGCATATTGACATTTAGGCCAGATAATTCTTTGTTGTCAGGCTGTATTACAGGGTGTTTAGCAGCATCCATAGCCTCTAGCCACCAGCTGCCAGTAGCACCCCCTTAGCCCTAATTGTGACAACTAAAAATGTCTCCAGACATTAGCAGATGTCCCCYAGTGAGTAAATGTGTCCCCACTTGAAAACCACTGATTCAGACACATGTATTGAGTTCCTTTGGTGCCCTGGGCATTGAAGGATGCTTAAATTAATTGTCTTAGAATTTTATCCTAGATCTGACTGGGTGCAGTGCCAAATTATATGCCTATAATTCCAGCAGAAACTGGAGGCAGGAGAAGCATAAGTTCAAGGCTATTTTGGGCAACTTAGCAAGTTCCTAYTAAAATAAAAAATAGAAAGAGCTCTGGATGTAGCTCGGTGGCAGAGGGTTCATAGGTTCAGTCTCCAGTACCGTAAATATTACACACACACATATACATACATACATATGTATATGTGTGTATGTATATACATACATATGTATATGTATATATATTATATTACTAGATTTGGCCGTTAAGATGTTTGATGTATGTTGAGGCAAAAGAACAACTGAACAGGCACCAGGAGACCTGGATTCTGGTCCTGGCTCTGGAACAAAGAGATCGTGTGATTTGAGTGAGTTCTTTCACTCAATCATCTGATTCCTTCACAACGATAGAAGTGACTTCTAAGGGTTTGTGCAGCTCTGATTCTAAGTCCTGATTTCAATTTTATTTTCAAGGCTTTATTTTTCCATGTTTTTAGAAAGTCAGCACAAGTTGGAGAATAACAAAACCAAGTGGAATACTGAATAAGAAGATAAGTGTTTGGAGGCTCAGTACTTCATTGTGCTAAAGGCTATAATTTTTTTTTCTAGATTATTTGAAGAATCTCTTAGAAGATTCTGGAGATTACAGAGACACTCAAGGTAAATAACTTTTGCCATCCCATGTTGCAAACATTTCTGTATCATGTTTTATTTAGAAAAAAATATATTTAGTAAAAATATACTGATAGCAAAACCCTTGTACAAAATTGTTCAGTTCATAAGAAGGCTTGAAGCTTTTAAAAAAACTCTTTTGGACAGATTAAAATAGAACCAAGTAAAGTAGTAAAATGTGGCTAGTAACAGAGAGACTGTAGGGGTCTCTAGAGATCATGGGCAGCCCTACACAAGAGCCAGGTTCCTGAGAGAGTGGCCCTGGCATGGCCTGGGGTCAGGACACTCCTGAATGTGCTCAGTCACTCTGTGCCCCTATTCAAGTTCTGTAGATGTCCACTTCTTCATCTTTCAAACACAGCAATTGAATGAGAAGATCTGCAGGGTTCTTTTAAGCTTGAAGGTTATGAGTCCATAAAGTGCCTAAGCTAYATGAATCAAGAATAGTCTAAAATACCATGTTATTTTGGGATTCTTTAATGATGATATATTTTRTAAAGTTCCATTTCTTTTTAAAGGAAAAGCAGTATGACCTGCTTCTTCTATTCTGTGAACATATAATCTAATTGATGAAGAAATCTATAATCCCCATGAAATAAAGAATAAAGCAGRTGGGCTGGGCACAATRGTGCATGCCTGTAATCCCAGCTACTTGGTAAACTGAGACAGGAGGATGGCAAGTTGGAGGCCTGTGTGGGCTAGTTAATGAGACCCTGTCTCAAAATTTTTAAAKGTGTGGGAATGTAACTCCGTGGTAGAGTGCTGCTAGGTTCAATCCCTAGTATTCAAAGAAAARAAATGAAAGCAAATGGCTTTTTTCCACTCCTCCTTCTTTTATTTTTTTCCTCCCAGTGCTGAGGATTGAACCTAGGCTTCCTGCATACTGGGCAACACTACCACTGAGCTGTGTCCCAGCCCAGCAGATAGTTGAGGGTGAAGATGCCTTYGAAGTACAGAATGATTTGAGAGAAGGAGAAAGGTGATAGTTGGAGAGGCAGGAAGATTTGCTTAGAAAGAAGAGATCTGGAAAGGAGCTAAAGGGTGGGCAAAAAGAAGAGTGAGCATTGCTGAACAAAGTCTGTACTGTGAAGATAACGATTGTTGGCAGAGGTTGGGGGTTAGCTCAGTGGTAGCACATACTTGGCAGGCTGTAGGCTCTGGGTTCAATCCTTAGCACCAGGAAAAAAAGAAAGTAACAAAAATAGTAAAGAGATCTTGGCAAATGGGACCTCAAGAGACATCTGTTCCATGTCCCAGAGCTTCTGCCTTCAAATAAAGTGAGTTGTTAGCTCCATTTTGTGGATGAAACAAATATAGGGCCAGAGATTAAGAAGCTTTTTTAATGGAAATTACACACTTTCACAAAGGCATAAATTAGAATAAGCAGAGAACAGTAAGGTGCACTATATACCTACARGCCACCAGAAGAGTGTGGTGGGCCGCTGCAGATTAGGTTGCCTGAGGGTGAGGGAGATGAGATAAAATACACCTTTGCGAGGTAAGCCAGATGAAGAGTCACCAGGCTCTCTTGTAGAGATGATGTGGGGAAAGCAGAATTGCAGAATGGACTGGAGAAGACAGAGCTTGGAGGCCAGGTGACCAGGTCACAGCCGTTTTATCATTCAGGCACTTCTTACATCCCAAGGCTTCTCTGCTCTACCCACTGGGAGCCCCATCAGGCCAGAAAGCAGGGAACACAGGTAACATGGAGTATGTGCTCTGATGATCGTGCCAGGTGCATAAATTCTGATATATGGTTGGGATTGCTATATAAGGAAATGCTGCTTATCTTTTTTTTAATGGACACAATACCTTTTATTTTATTTGTTTATTTTTTATGTGGTGCTGAGGATCGAACCCAGTGCCTCACACATGCTAGGCAAGCGGGCTACCACTGAGCCACAACCCCAGCCCCTCTGCTTATCTTTAATAACAGTGAAAGGGCTGGGAGTGTAGCTAGAACTCTGTCCTAGCTTGAGCAAGGCCATGGTTTGATCCCCAACATCTCTCTCTCTCTCTCTCTCTCTCTCTCTCACACACACACACACACACACACACACACACACACAAACCATAGTAATATGTTTAAAGACTATGGAAAGTTTCAGGGTTATTTTTAGAGAGTCTCTTGATGAGTTATGGTAATTAAACCAAAAAATCTCAACCCCTTTTAAAAAATTGGTCTTTTATTTTTTTTTATCATTGATAAACATCATCACTTCCACAAAGCCTCAGAAGGGCATGACTATTCATCATGTGTTCATTTTTTCTCAGTTGATGATGTCACTGTCATATTATACAGGATAATTTCTGTGGATTTCTGAGTACTGCAGGGTGTTTAGAATCCCTGTCTTCTACCCACTAAAGGCCAGTGACCTTCTTGGTCATTGTGATGACCACAAGTTGTCTTTACACATGCCCACATGTCCCTAGGGAGTGCTGCTGCCTTGGATAGAAAACAAGTACTTCCCAAAAGCAGACAAAAGGCAGACTKTATCCTTTATATCCAGTTCCAAAGGTGACAAGACCAGAGTATTCAAAAAATACTTTGCAAAAGACTGCAGAAGGCAAGAGGCGAATGTAAAGTATAAAACATAGATTGATCTATGAAGCTGAATAAGCCAGCTCAAAAAATGATGCTTGTACGTTCCTAAGATCTAATGTGCTTCCAGAAATGCCACATGGAAGCACATTAGATCTTAGATTTCTCTCCTTTCTAACCTACACCTCTTGGAAGCAGACTAGATACCCCAACCCTTGAGCCTTTTAAATAATTTTTCTCATAGTTCTTGTTTCCTATGCCAGGATCCTTGTCTCTCATGATCCCTCTTCCCTGTGACAGTCTATATTGATGTGGTCCTTTGCTTCCTGGTAAAATCCTATTCTAACCCTTGTAAACTTCCAGAGGGCAACAAATCCCAGCACAAAGAAACCCTGAAATTATGTTATTGATAAACATGGTTTACCCTGTCTCTTTAGAGTCTTTCTGTGGCTCATTTTTGTTCACAGGTGTTATRTTTTGCTTGTTTTCCTTGGATACACCCCGATTGAACCTTATTGTCTATGTTTCCGCCTACTCACAGTTAACCCAGCTCCACCAGAGTTTGGTTGCTATGAAATAACTGCCCTGTCATCTGGAAATGCTTAATGTTGCAAACTGTGTGTGTCAATGGTAATAACCAGAAGCCCCCTTCTATTTTAGATGCCCTTGCAGTTGTAATAGAGGTAGCAAACCATGCCAACGACACCATGAAGCAAGGAGTAAGTATCTTATCATTGACTAGTACACTGTTCAACCTGGGAGCCTGGGCCTTCACGTGCTCTACATTGTCTTTCTCTAGGACAACTTTCAGAAACTTATGCAAATTCAGTACAGCTTAAATGGACACCATGAAATAGTGCAGCCTGGACGGGTAAGTGTTATAGACTACCTTTTGCAAATTTAACACGTACTCAGGCACCATCTGTAGCTAATTTTTATTTTAGTTATGAAAATAGATTACTCATTATTGTTAGTCTTCGCTGACCTAATATGGATTGCTCCATCCATTCAAAACATTTATAACCTAAGTCACCATGACAGGAAGTCCAATTCAATTAGGAGAAAGGCAAGGGACCCCACAGAGTCCYGATAAAATGATTTAATGGGATCATTTTTATTTTGTAATACCAGCTGACCTCACACAGCTTTGAAGTCAATTATACTTAAAATCTTTGATGCAAAGAGGATTATGAAGGGAGGGAGAAAATTGATATTTTGATGCTCCTCATAGAGCACAGAAGTGGCCTGGGGAATGAATTCAGGAAAATTACAAAATGCAGTTATCCGGATGCTGTATATGCCTCAGGACTAAGTACGCACTCAATTACATATCAGTCCACATAGTTCCCCTGGGGCTAATATATGATTTATGAAACTTTGTATGCTTATCTAATCCTATTCTTGTTTTGTTTTCCTTTTATTTTCTGGCTTTTTTTTTTTTTTAATCTTTCCTTTTGTCCAGTTTCTAAGTGACTTACAGGGTTTAAAAAGAAAAGTATTGGAGGTGGGCAGGATTGTAGCTCAGTGATAGAGCACTTGCAGGAGGACCTGGGCTTGATCACCAGCACCACAATAGAAAAAAGGCATGACTATAAAAAGTCACAGGGAAATTTGTCCTAGTTGTTCCAGGCTCCCACCAAAAAAAAAAAAAAATCTTAGGGAAGAAAAATGAAAAAGAAAGTGTATGTATATTGCAATTGTAATGCAATGGTTGGAATAACTGAGTTTTTGCTTGAATGAATCAGGTTTTTCTCAAAGAAGGAATTCTGAAGAAGCTGTCCCGGAAGGTCATGCAGCCCCGAATGTTTTTCCTGGTAAGAGGCCACATGTAACTCTGATGTGTCCAGATCATTGCTTAATGTAACAAGACRTTTATATACAACACCCAAACACAACACATTCAAATACCAGTTTTAGTGGAGGCTTTGGCCATATTATTTAGTTTCATTTCAAGTATACAAAATAAGGTCTGTTATGATGCATATCAGAAAATGATTTTCTTTTGGAATTTAGTTTAATTTCTAGATTGGTAGAACTGTTTTTAAAAAATCAGTTATTTTTTCAGGGAGACTGAAACCTTGGTAGGATTTAGAATTCAGAAAACATTAAATCTGTTATAGAACTCAGAAAGGAAACACATTTTCTAGAAATTGCCTTTTGAATAATATTCTCCTAAAACATTTTAGATGGTTCTAGTATATATCAGCAGAACATAAGTATTTTGTTCAGAGAGCTATTAACATGAGGTAATATTTTCCCTTTATTTTTTTATCATRTCAGTATCATTGTAGCTAGTATTATTTTCTGTAATTTGTCCTATGAAATATTTCTACTTTCAGTTTAATGATGCCCTGTTGTATACAACACCGGTACAATCTGGGATGTATAAACTGAACAACATGCTCTCATTGGCTGGAATGAAGGTCAGTGCATCTGTTAGAGGTTTTTTGTGTTTGTTYGTTTGTTTTGCTTTGCTTTGTTTGTTTGTGGTGCTGGAGATCAAATTCAGGGCCTCCTGCATGCTAGACTAGTACTTTAACACTGAGTTTCATCCCCAGCCCTAGAACATTTTTTTTTTTTTTACTCARACATGTTAATATATGCAGARAAGAATCCCTAAGAAATCATCTTTCTCATGTCATTAACTCTTCTTTGTCCTTATGCTACTGTTCATGCATCTGCTTATTCATTCATGTCATTTGTTCACTCATGCATTAATTTATTTCTACCATATTTATTGAGAATGACTATAAACAAAACATGGTAGTAGGTTTGATGAAAATAGGAGGATGAGTTGAAGAATGATTCTTTTTGTCTACCTCAGCCTCCCTCCCCAGCAAGATTGAGTACACAGTTAGAAAGATAATACACTATACAGTAGACAGTAATAAATATCACTGTAAAGACATAGTGAAAGGTATTTAGGAATTTATAAAATAAACACACATCTTTTGATGGGCATAGCGAAGGAACTGGCATGCATATTTTTGATAGACATCTGGGAAAGAGGAGAATCAAGGAAGTCTAAGACAGAAGAGCCAATGAGCCTTAAAGTGTGGTTCATAGGTGGCCACACTGGAATATGGGGAAAGGAATTCTGGCTGGAGGGAATATTGTGACCAAAGGCCTGGGTTTGGGAAATTTGGCCTGSATGTGGGTATTCATCTRAAGCATAGAGTAGGTGATGGAGATTAGATGGTGGAGATGGAGATTAAGCTGAGTAGGAAGGTTGGTCCTGGATGTTAGCAACTAGGCAACTTTAGCTGCAATTCAGAGTTGGAATTTACAATAGGATGAGTTTGCTCAGGTTTTTATGCTTTCTTCCAGGTCAGAAAACCCACCCAGGAAGCATATCAGAATGAATTAAAGATTGAAAGTGTTGAACGTTCCTTCATTCTCTCAGCCAGGTAAATTTTTTTTTATTTTATTTATTTATTTTTTTAAAATTTTTTTTAAATTTATTTTTTGTAGTTATCGGCGGACACAACATCTTTCGTCTGTATGTTGCGCCGAGGATCGAACCCGGGCCGCACGCATGCCAGGCGAGCGCGCTACCACTTGAGCCACATCCGCAGCCCTAAATTTTTTTTTTTAAATGTACACATTTAGATGAATTTTTGCCAGTAAGGTAGTGTCATATCTCCTACATTTTTTTTTTTTTTACATTTAGGTTGTTTACTAGACTTTTTATTCCTTCCTTTTCTTTCCTAAAACTGATTTTTTCCAAAGTTGACTTACATGCACATAAATGACTGACAACTGATATAATAGTATAATAGAAGCACAAAGATAAAAAATATCCTTCAAAATAGGACAACACTGCTGTAAAATGATCTTTTTGTTTTTGTTGATAATGCCAGGGTTCCAGTCCAGGGCCTCACACGTGTTAAGCAAACACTCTACCACTGAGCTAGCACTACCAGCCTCACTGATTTTTTTTTTTTTTTTTGAGTGACTCTTTCTGTATTAGTCAGCTTTCCATCACTGTAACAAATACCAGTCAGAAATAAACTTAGAAGACAAAACATTTATTTTGGCTCACAGTTGCAGAGGTTTCATTCTTTGGTCTGTGGACCCATTGCTGTAGTGCCCATAGCAAGGCAGCACATTATGATGGGAGCATGTGGTAGAGGAGGCTGCCCACCTCATCACAGCCAGGAAGTGAGAGAAAAAGGAAGGGGCCAGAGTACTAGTATCCTCTTTAAGAGCACATCCCAATCCTAGCTTTATTCTACTACGTTCCACCTCTTAAAAGGTTTTACCACCTCTCAGTAGCACTAAGGACCAAAATGTTAATACATGGGTCTTTGAAGGACATTCCAGATCTAAACATGACAATTTCAAATATTTTTACAGTGAAACATAAGGTTTTTAAAAACAACTAGTGCTTTATAGTTTACTAGAAAGTTTTCACATTTCATTTAAAGGCATAGCAAATGTATGAGGTAGGTGTCATCTCACCTTGAAAATGAGGAAGCCAAATTATAGAAAAGTTGAGTTTCCCTTTCATGGATACAGAGCTGGTGAAGCTAGGATACAATTTGAAGTCTTTTGCTTTTAAATGCATTGTTTTTTATGATACCAATTACCTTAAACTGAAATCTGCCGTGACTTGTGTTAACCAAAACATACTACCATAATGTTAATCAAGCAGTAAGGAAAACTGAAGCTGTGTGACTCATATAGACATACCTCTCTTTACTGTGCTTCACAGATACTGCATTTTTTACTAATTGAAATTTTGTGGCAACCTGCAAATCTGTTAGTGCTATTTTTCTGACAGCAAGTGCATACTTTGTGTCTGACTCACATTTTGGCAGTTCACACAATATCTGATTTGATTTGATTTGATTTGACTTATTTTTGCAATGCTAGAGATTGAACCCAGAGTCTTGTGCATGCTAGACAAGTGCCCTCCTACTGAGCTACACCACCAGCCCTCTCAATATTTTAAACTTTTTCCATTATTATTTTATATATTGCGGTAATCTGTGATCAGTAATCTTTGATCTGTTTGTTGTTTGGGGGCACCATGAACATACCCACATGAGATGGAAAACTTAATGAATAAATGTTGTATGTGTTCTGACTACTCCATTGACCTGTCATTCCCCTACCCCTGTCACTCTCATGGGGCCTCCATATTCACTGAGACACAACAATATTGAAATTAAACTAATTAGTAACCCTACAATATCTTCTAAGTGTTCTGGTGAAAGGAAGAGCCACACATATCTYATTTTAAATCAAAAGCTAAAAATGAATAAGTTTATTGAGGAAGGTATCTTGAAAACCAGGACAGGCTAAAAGTGAGTTAACCAGGGTGTTAATGAAAAGGAAGAGTTCTTAAAGGAAACTCAAATTGCTGCTCCAGTGGATGCATGAATGAAATCCTATCAACAGGGAGAAAGTTTGAGTAATCTGGATAGAAGATCAAACCTGCCAYAGGCTTTAAGCCAAAGTAGGCTTTCAGCTAAAGCCTACTCCAGAGAAAGGCCCTCACTCTCTTTAATTCTTTGAAGGCTGAGAGAGGTAAGGAAGCTACAGAAGAAAAGTTTGTGACTAACAGAGGTTGGTTCATGAATTTAAGGAAAGATGCATCTTTATAATGTAAAGTACAAGGTGAAGCAGCAAGTGCTGCTGGAGAATCTGCTGCAAGTTATCTAGAAGGTCTGGCTGAGATCTAGCTGAGGTAAAGATGAAAGTGGCTACACTACATGACAGGGAAGTTTTGTTTGTTTGTGTTTTGTTTTGAGGGTACTAGGGATTGCATCCAGGGTTACTTTACCACTGAGTCCCATCTCCAGCTGTTTTCATTTTATTTTGACACAGAGTCACACTAAGTTGCTTAGGGCCTTGCTAACTCACAGGGGCTGGCCTTGAACTTGAGATCCTCCTGCCTCAACCAAGTCATTGGGATTGCAGGCAAAAAACCAAACAAACAAACAAACCTATTGTTTTGCTACTGGGGATTGAATTCAGAGGCATGTAACCACTGAGCCACATTCCCAGCCCCACTTTTTATTTTTTGAGACAGTATCTTGCTGAGTTGCTTAGGGCCTCGCCAAGTTGCTGAGGCTGACTTTGAACTTGTGATCCTCCTGCCTCAGTCTCCTGAGCCACTGGTATTACAGGTATGCACCACCACGTCTGGGCAGTGCTAGATTTTTAATGTAGTTGAAACAGCCTTATAGAAGAAGAAGGTGCCGTATAATACTTTCTAGAGAGAAGTCAATGCCTGGTTTCAAAGTTTCCATGCAGTCTCCATGCATGCTACTATCTTTCTGCCTTGCCCAGGTAGCTACCCCACCTGGAATTCACTCCTTCATTCAGTAATTAATTTGGATCCTCAAGCCTGGCAGGCATTGCAGTAGGCATCAGGATACAGTGGGTAATTAAAAAGTCCCTTCCTTCAGGGAGCTTACATTTCATTAGGGAAGACAAATGAAAGACTTAGCAACTATCACCACTAGTAGGTATTATTGTGATTAATTGTACACAGGAGAAGTCCTAGGTACTATGAAACTATAAAACAAAGGAGCTTGAGCTAGATTTTTAGAGAGAGGATAGGAGGACAAACCCCATAGGCCTGCTGTGCATATTGACTTAAGAAGGATGAGTAGGTGCTGGAAGAGCCTCCTGGTCATTAGAAACAATGAGTATGAAGATCCCGAGACAAAAGGGAGCATGGAGTATTCAAAGAACTGAAAGGCCAGTGTAGCATGAGCTAGAACATGACAAGGAGAGTGACCAGCCTGGAAGGACAAGTGGGATATATTTTGCAGAATCACCTTATGGATTTGGGTCTTTAGCCTAAGAGCCACAGGAAGTATATTCAGTATAGTTTATACCAGGGAATGATGTGCTACTGAGAACACAGTTGGGAGGTGGACTAAAGGAAGCATTTAATTGGATGTGGATATGAGAGAAAGGGGTTATTCCTCAGGAGTCTCCAGTCTGTATGTGGTGGGACCACTCACTATGCAGAGGAACGCTGAGAAAGGAGAGCTTCAGGGGGAAGTCAGGCATTTAGTTTCAGAAATGCACATTAAATGTGAGTAAGGTCTGCGTGGAGCTGTCAGAGTAGTTTATATAAGGATCTGGACGTCAGGAGGAAGCCTGGGCTACAGGTATACATTTGGATGTCATCAGTTGGGATGGTAAATAAAGCTAGAAGACTTTAATGAGGCTGCACAGAAAGACTGCAGTTCCCTGTCTAACTCTTGTAATTCTTCAAGTTCYGACTTGGTCATCACCTCTGCAACCTTCCCTGACACCTAAATAAGTAATTTATCCCTTCTGTTATTTATCTGCCTTACATTTGTTCTATCTTATGTTATTTGCTTTTCTCGTCTCAGTTGSATGTGAGCCTTTAAAAGTGAGGTGTGTTATGTGTGCCCAGTTTCTGGTTTAGTTTCTGGCCCTTAATATTCTCCTTGTAAATGTTACTCAGATGCTTCAAAGTGATGTCTAGTCTTTGAACCTCACAGTAGCATCCCACAGTTAGTACAAAAAGTGGTGTAGCTTTGTCTAATGCACCAGCAGTCCCTTTGATTGAAGAGTTTTTTCCCCTGATAATTCATCTCAATTAACAGAAAAATGGTACTCGCTTGACAGAACTTTGAATYCTAGTTCTATACAAATTCTACAAAAGAATGTCCCATTTCCCAGTCCAAGAAAGATGCCTATTCTTCGACTAATCATGTTACAAAAAGAGAGCCTGAAYGTCTCCTCTGGATGCTGTGGGCAAGTGTGTGTGGTCTGTGAGGGAAGTGTTATCAAGAGCTGGTAAACATCATCTTGGCAGACCCCACACAGGAGAGAGCCAGSAATGATTAAATGAGAGAACAGCATATGCGACATGATTTGCACAGTYGAGTCACTTTCCACATGCTCCCAGGGCTCCAGAAAAATCCGACAGCCATTCTCAAATTAGCCATCTGCCTCTGTTTTCTGTTACTTCTTCCAGTAAAGAGCCAGGGGGAGGGAAGGAGAGATAGTAATATCATATGAATGTTTGCCTAGAAGCCTGAGCATGTGTCGCCATAGTGTAGTCCATCAAAGAACTTGAACAAGCTGGCAATGACCYGATTGTGAAGGGTTCAGTCTTAAATTACACTTGGGTCTAATACCAGCTTATGAGGTAGTAGCCTGTTGTCTGTAAAGCCAGATATCTAACATGGCTAATCTTCAGTTTCCTTATCAGTAAATGGAGATGATGAGTGATGGTGTCATAGAGGGGAGATGGGTGTGTGTGAAGTTCAGTATCTATTCCATAGGGTCACTCTGAGGGTGAGGCATGATGACATTTGGAAGTACTCTTACAGGCTGACATATACTCATTAGTAGATAGTAGCTGTTTGGGGCAGTAATGCTAAAATAGTAGAGATAACCGAGGTAGGTTTAGTTTGGAGAGAGGTGTTTCTTTTTTTGTTGTTTTGTTCTTTGTGTGTAATGGGTATTTGAAAAATATATTAGTTTTAAACTTTTTTTTTGTAAACCGTATTCCTACCTTTTTATATACTTACTACTGAATATTCTAAATGGCACTCAAAGCTATTTAATAGGGAGGTACATTTCTGAGAGTGATTATTATATAAAAGATGAGTGGTTCCKAGTATCTTCTTGATCTGCTCTGGGCCTTTCAAAATATATTAAGGGGGCTGGGAATATAGCTCAGTGGTAGAGCACTTGCTTAATATAGGCAAGAACCTAGATTCAATTCCCAACCCTGTGAAAAAAATTCAATGCAGCATTGTATGTTTATACGTGCCATTACTTATCTTTATTTTATTTTTATGTGGTGCCGAGGTTCGAACCCAGGGCCTCACATGTGCTAGGTGAGCGCTCTACCGCTGAGCCATAACCCCAGCCCTATATGTGCCATTACTTATGATGGAGTTTTTATATTTAAAATTATAGTGACTAATATACTGTCCTGCATTTAATCACTTGATGCAAAAATCATCAAGACTGCTGCATAATTTTCTTTCTTTTGTTTTTTTTTTTCCTGGTATTGGGAATTGAACCCAGGAGTACTTTATCACTGAACTATGTTCCTATTCCTTTTTATTTTTATTTTTGAGATAGAGTCTTGCCAAGTTGCCCAGGCTGTCCTCTAACTTGCCATCCTCTTGCCTCAGTCTCCCGAGTTGCAGAGATTACAGGAGTGCACCACCATGCCTGGTGCTATTCAGTTTTCTAATTTATGATTTTCTAAAGTATTTTAGAAAGTGGACATTTTCTTACACAGTCACAAATCTATAATGAATGGATTTTATTTAATTATGATAGATTTTTAAGTTGATTGTTAAAGTCTATCCCATTCCTTCTCTCTTCCCCCCATGTATATGTATAAATTAATATATTTATGTTACTTAATATATGCCTCTCAGTTTTGAATATGCCAAACAAAAATTTTTAAATAGCTTCTTAAATGTCCTGATACCAGTGATGATTGGGAGTTATGACAGAGTTTTGGGGGGAGAGGCATGGTAGCAAAACTGCAGAACAAGAATGCCCTTTTCTGGACAGGCTTTCCCTTCTTTGGCCCATTCCCATTAGAGTTGAGTTAAAGATTCACCTGATGATTCGGAGGAAGGAACAGAAAACCTGGTGGCCAAGTAGGGAGAGGAGCCCTCAAAACAGCCGTGGGCTTTTTCCCTTATTAACCACTCCTTCAATATCTGGGGTTTTTATTTTTTTCTTTTTTTTACCATCTGTTTTATGATATTAAAAATATATTCCCTTCACCTCGCTATCCTTTCTAGAAATTTTTGGTAATATGTTAATAATCTAAAGGTATTTAATATTCTGTGCTGTATGTAGGTGTTTGAAACATAATTTCTTGGTATATTTCTAAATTCTAGGATTATGTCTTAGGAAACTCTTTGGTTATGTTAAATAATTATAGTTATGAATTGGGACAGTTAGCCCATAAACCAAACAAAGATACTTGTAAATTTAGGAGACTTCAGAAGCTACTTAATATAATGCAGTACTTTTAGAAAGGACAAAAGCATTGCATTTGCTAAAATGCTTTGGGTTTCCTATTGCCTGCTCTGATTATTTGTTCACATAAACCTCCAAGTTGCTGCTTTTGATGAGTAGTGTTGGAGGGTGGTGGAGTTGGTTGCCATGGGAGAACTAACAGAAGCAAGAAAAAGGCAAAAAGTCAAAGCTGACATCTGGTTGATGGAACCTTCTCTTGCCCCCAACAGTTCTGCCACTGAAAGGGATGAATGGCTAGAAGCAATTTCCAGGTCAATAGAAGAGTATGCCAAGAAAAGAACCACCTTCTGTCCTAGTAGGAGTCTCGAGGAGGTATTATCTTTCCTTGTTTCTTTTTCCAGTGTACTTCAAACAGTTTTTTACCTTAAAGAAACATGTCACAGGGGTTTAGTGAAGCAACATGTTGCAGAGAAGGATCAGAGGTGGGTGTCTAATTTTAGCAGTACATGTTTATCCATCTGTGAATGTCTAACTGGGAGTCTGTGGTAACATGTAGCATACTCTTGTTTTTTTCTAGTTATAAAACTTAATTGTAGGAAATTTATTTACTGTGTGTGTGTGTGTGTGTGTGTGTGTGTGTGTGTGTGTGTGTTGCTAGGGAGGAATCCATGGCCTCATGCATGCTGAACACATGCTTTGCACTGAGTTATACCCCTAGTCCCCATTGTAGGAAATTTAGAAAGTACAAAATAGTTTAAGGAAGAAGCTAATCAGCTGTTATCCTACTTTTAAAGTTAATTTTGCAGTAAGAGGATTTTTAGAATATAGCTAACCTCAATATCCTGAGAACACAAAAAATAGAATAGCCCATGTTTCCTCCTACATCTTTTTTTAAAAATATTTTTTAATGTTGATGGACCTTTATTTTATTCATTTATTTATACGTGGGGCTGAGAATTGAACCCAATGCCTCGCACATGTGAGGCAAGCACTCTACGACTGAGCCACAACCCCAGCCCCTCCTCCTACATCTTTAATGATACCATCAGCACCTGGAGACGGCACCATCACTAGCTAAAAAAGCCTCCCTTCTGACGCAGGCTGTGTGCATGGAGGTAATCAGAAGTCATTCTTTTCTAGCAGGCTGACTCAGAAAATAAAGATGAAGTTAGTCCCCTTGGATCAAAGGCTCCCATCTGGATTCCTGATACCAGAGCCACAATGTGTATGATCTGCACAAGCGAATTTACTCTGACCTGGAGACGACACCACTGCCGGGCCTGTGGAAAGGTCAGAGAGGACAACCCATCTGCATTGTGATTTCTCCTCTCACTAGGCTGTGCACAGTGGGGAAGCATATTCTGCCTTAGAAACCCCTGCAGTCATCACAGCAAAAGAAAAAATAACCAAGATAGTTGTGGTAGAAAACATGGATATTGTCTTCTCTAAATATTTAGGAACAGGGGAAGGGAAATCTTGTTAGGGAACTTCCCTCCTCTCACCCCAAATGTACTTTCTGATGTCAGTAATAGAGAACTTACATTCAGAAACCAAAACTAACAAATCCATGATTAAACGATCCTCACATTTATAGCTAGTTATTTAAACCACCTCTGTCTACATACTAAGTATTTAGCAAGGGGAACTTCCAGTGGTCAAATTACCCCTAATGACACTTGTTAGTTTTTTTAGTCAGCTTTCCATTGCAATAACAAATACCTGAAAAAAATCAATTTAGAAAGAGAAAAGGTTTATTTGGTCTCATGGTTTTGGAGGTTTATTTGGCTCATGGTTTTGCCTGTGGTGCACATCATGGTGGGAGTAGGAGCAGAGCACACAGCAGAGAAAACCTATTCACCTCAGCTGTTTACTGTTCATGGCCAGGAAAAACATTTTAAAAAAGAGGAAGAGACCAGGGTTCCACAATTTCCTATGAGGACATATCCTCCATAACTTAAAACCTCCCACGAGGCCCCCTCTTTTACAGGTTCCATTACCCCCAATACACCCAATCTGGGGACCAGTGCTTTCAATCATAGGCCTTTGGGGTACTTTCCAGATCCAAACTATAGCATAAGCCTTCTTGACATCAGTAATGTGAGCTTAATAACAATGATATCCACATTACTCTAAAGATTAAACAAGCCAGGTGCGGTGGCATATGCCTGTAATCCTAGCAGCTTGGGAGGCTGAGGCAGGCTTTGATCGTGAATTCAGAGCCAGCCTCAGCAAATGCAAGGCACTAAGCAACTCAGTGAGACCCTGTTTCTATATAAAATACGAAAAATGGGACGGGGATGTGGCTCAGTGGTTGGGTGCCCTTAAATTCAATCCCTAGTACCAAAAAAGAAAATGATTAAACAAGGAACAAGGTCCCATTTAGAGAGCACTTGGTACGGAGCCAGACACTTGGCAGAGGAGCAAAGTGGTCATTGCTACAGCTGTGATGGTGATGATGATGATGATAATGGTCAGTGCAGCTATCAGGACTTACTGCATGCTAGGCACTGTTCTAAGCACTTGATGCATATTAGCTCTTTGACTGCATTATTTTACATAGTAGTTGCTCTGTGATGATTTGTGGCCTCTCTGTCTTTCAAGTGTGATATCACATGCTAGTTTACTGTATGCCTGAACTCCATGAGGTTAAGTAAGATAACATGAGCATGTAACTGTTTTGAAAAGTGGACAGTGCTGTAAGACCTACTTTATTGTTTGGAAACAAAAGTTATTATAAACAAAATAATTGTAATGTGTTTTCAGATTGTATGCCAAGCTTGTTCATCTAATAAGTATGGCTTAGATTACCTGAAAAATCAGCCAGCAAGAGTATGTGAACACTGTTTCGAAGAGTTGCAGAAACTAGGTAATGTATAAGTAAAGATTTGACAAAAAATTCCATTTTTCCCTAGATGCTTTCCAATAGGCTTCTGAAAGAATCATCTTTGGTACATTAGCATTGTTGATGCTTGTCTTAAAATTAGTATTAAGYTTTCTTAACTCATACTTTGTGGTAATTTCCAAGAAAACTTGGACTGAAATTTGTTTTTACAGTGTGAAAATGTTTTGCTAAGAAAACCAATTGTATAAAATTACAAAATTAAATACTTAAAACAAATGGGAACTTTAACTTGCAAGTTATTTTGAAGTTTCTTGTTTCCCATAATAGTGTGCTAGTAAGAATCATTTTCTAACTATTTATAAAGTCATGCTCTATGGAAACATGCCTGGTAACACTTAATAAGATTTTATTGTAGATTTTTGAACAAATACAAAATGATGCTTCATACATGTCCTCTAGTTATTTTCAAGCATCCTCCAGGCCAAGCGAACGCAAGTAGGACCATTCAAATCTACATTTTGGATGGGGAAATGTAATTAAATTTCTGAAACATATAGAATCTAAATCTTGAAAAGATTGTCCTTTATTCCATGAAAAATAATTTCTCCTCAGCAGATAGGAATATCTATGTGGGAAAAAAAAAAAGTAGATGACATCCTGTTTCAGAATCCATGTATTTGTGAATTAATGGTACATTATAGTCTGTACATTTTCCATGTAGACACATCCCCTGTTCCTTTGCCAGCCTTTCTGTTCCTCTCTTTGTTCTTTGAACCCATAGTATGAACTGTAGACATTCTAAATTCATCTTTGAGTCTTCCTTTCTAATCATCCACACCTATTTGGTTATTAAATCTTGTCAGCTTCTTCTCAAATAGTCTGTGTTGATTTTGTATCAGTCCTAATGAGGTCTAACTTACTTTAATAATTTTCTTATGAGTTTTCTTTGTTGCAAATCTCTCCTGACTACTGCCAGATTTAATTTCTAAATTTGATCTGGTCTTGACACACCCAACCTAAAGAGCATTCCAGGTCCCTTTTTTCCTAGCTTCCTTATTTTATAATGCAGTTGCTCACGCTGACTTCCTCGTGGAGTGTTCTCCCCCCTCTTATACCTGGCAAACTACTTACGCCTCAGTGTCCAATGTAAATGTCTCCTTCTCTTCCTAGGATTTCCTTTGCAGTCAGAATTAATTGTTCCCTCCTTTGTATCCTACAGAGCTCCTCTTTAGTACCTTGTTCATTGTAAATGTTGTTACTTGGTTAAGTATCTAGACACTGAATAAAGTTAGGTATTTTTTAAGTCAGTAGGGAAGTTTAGGGGGGGGGTTATTTTTTCCATTTGGCACAACATTCATATGTTTCAGAAATTTAAAGGCTTAAAAGGATAATTTCTTCATGTGGTTTAAAGTTCAAAAAGTAGAAAATCAGACAGTGGAGTCTTCCTCTCACTCAGCTCTCAGCAATCATCTTCCTTTTTCCAGGGCCATGGATGTCATCCATTTCTCGAGCATCCTTTTATGGCTATTTTGTACAATGTGTTTATTGATTTGAATTAAGTTGAAGGACAGAATGCCCCTCAYCATTGGCTACATAAGTTTGTATCTGGTTTGTTGTAGATCGCCAGCACTCCCCTAAGGTTGGATCTCCTGGGAATCACAAATCTCCTTCAAGTGCCTTATCATCAGTCTTACATAGTATTCCATCAGGGAGGAAACAGAAAAAAATCCCAGCCGCTCTCAAAGAAGTAAGTGTTTCCATTAAACTTATAATGAGATAGAGGTTGAATTATTCATATGCACATAACATGCTGTTTTTATTTCATAAAGGAGGATGTTATTTCCCGTTGCTATTAAAATATGAATTTTAATACTGGTGATGGAGATGGCTGATTTCTTACAATCTTGCTTGGTCTCCCTTATGACCTGAGTCATTTAGAAAATGGCTGTTGAAAGCTTCAGAGAACCTTTTATAGTAATGATAGAGAATAAAGCTAAGATGAACACATTTGAATTTTTAAAATTACTTCAAGGAGGCCTCTTTCCAAAGGGAAGGAGTTCATAGAATAATGGGGGCCCTTTGTTAGCATTTACTKATTTACATGGTTTGTTATTTGTTGACATCCTTTAATCTTAAATTTTTAAACAGTCAGGATGGGGCTGGGGCTCGGTGGTAGCATACTTGCCTGTCATGTGTGAAGCACTGGGTTTGATTCTCAGCACCACATATAAATATGTAAATAAAATAATCATCTATCAACAACTAAAAATATATATATTAAAAAAGAAAAACAACCCTGGTAACAAAGAAAATTTTATTAAACAGTGGCTGCTATCTGCCAGCAGTAAAATCCACAGGCAACACTGATACTTTGTCACAGTTCCTCAAATGTAAGTGTCAATCAACAAGTGCCAGAGAGCAGACAGCATTGCCATTCTGGCCCCTCCCATCACAATTAGTTATTCATTAGTTCCTCTTGTGCTAGTATTATAGCCCACAGAGCTGGTAGCTTTTRTCTGTTGTTGTCCATGTTGTTTCGGTACTGGGGATTGAATCCCCAGGGCCACTTTACTACTGATATACATCCCAACCCTTTTTATTTTTTATTTTGAGACAGGATCTTGCTAAGTTGCTTAGGGCCTTGCTAAATTGCTGAGGCTGGCCTCTAACTTGTCATTTCTTGCCTTAACCTCCCGACTCACTGGGATTACAGATGTGTGCCACCACACCCAGCTGTTTAGTATTGTTTTGACATGCGGTCTCACTATGTTGCCCAGGCTAGCCCCAAACTCCTGTGCTTAAGGGGTCCTCCTGCCTCAGTCTCRCAAGTAGCTGGGACTGTAGGTACATGCCACTAACCCCAGATCTGCCTAGGGTTTTTGATTCTCCTGCTTGTTTACCATGAAGGTGTTCTGTTATACAAAGTGGAAGCAAACAACTTTAAAGTTTTGATGAGGATCATGATTCGTAGGTAAAACTAAGAGTATATTCCCAGTGATTGATAACTTATCTGATGAAATAATAAGGATTTGAAGTTTCTAATTGCCAAGCTTTAAGTGAAACTGGTTAAGCCAATTTAGTGAGCACCTCTAAACTGTCTCTTCTATCCCTCAGTTCCCAAGTATAAACCTGCATTCATAACTTTGAGGTTCTTGCCATGTGCTGTCATTCACCCTTGAGGTCCCAGCTACTTGGGAAGCTGAGGAGGGAGGATCCCTTCAGCCCAGGAGTTTGGGGCCAGCCTGGGCAAAACAGCAAGACCCCTTGTCTATAAATAAATGAATAAATGGATGAATAAAATAAATAAATAACCTACCTGCCTTAAGTTTCTTAATCAACTGAAGTGGTTCTCAATTCTCTATAATTTTTAACTTCTCCAATGTCATACTAGTTTCTAAATACAATTCTTTCAATTTGCTCCCGTCTTCAGTTGAAATTTATCAGCATTAGTTACAAAACTCTTAGAGTATAGCCTAGATTCAGTCTAACTCTAGTCCTGTTTTATGCTGCCCTCCAGTTCTTGAATACAGCCATTTCTTCCTTTAGTCAACTGATTTTCTAAGTGGCTCCGAGACCAGTTGCATCAATTATCTCCTGAGAACTTGGAAATTCTCAGGCCTCACCCAAAGTCCACAAAATCAGAAATTCTAGCAAGCACCCTGGTGATTCACATGCGTGCTAATGTTTGAGAGCTACTTCTTTGACCTTTATAGTCATACCCAAGAAGTTAATATGTATATTTAAGTGTTGTAAACATCAAACTATAGTATTTTCCTTGGGAAGCTATGTTCTTTGGTTTTGTTTTACTTAATTGAAGTGAAATTCACATAACATGTAATTACCCATTTTAAAGTATACAGTTAGTGGCATTCAGTGTGCTGGCAATGTTGGGTAACCACGATATCTTTCTAGTTTCAAAACCTCTTCATCATTCCATATAAACATCCTTTGTACATTCAGTAATCAGTCCCTTTTCCCCTCCTCCCACCCTCTAGCAACCTCTAATCTGCTTCTGTCTCTCTGGAGTTGCCTATTCTGGTTATATCATGAAAAAGAAATCGTAGACTATGTGACTTTCATGTCCAGGTTCTTTTCACTTACCACAGTGTTTTCAAGGTTTGTCAAAATTATAGCATGTGTCAGTATTATAGCATGCATCATGCATGTCATTTCTTTTTTTTAAATATGTTTTAGTTTAATATTGTTTTATTTTATTTATTTACTTATATGTGGTGCTGAGGATTGAACCCAGGGCCTCACTCATGCCAGGCAAGTGCTCTACCACTGAGCCATAACTCCAGCCCCACTTCATTTTTTTTATGTCTAAATGATATTCATTTTATCTGTATTCCACAATTTATCCATTCATCCCTTGATGGACATTTGAGATCTTTCCACCTTTTGGCTCTTACAGGCTATGAATATCTATGTACAGATTTCTGTGTAGACATACATTTTCATATATCTTAGGTTTATGCTTAGGAATGGACTTGCTTGGTCACATGATAATTCTATGTTTAACTTTTTGACAAACTGAGAAGTCTAGCCTCACACATGCTAGACAAGCACTTTAACCAATGAGCTACATGCATCCCAGCCCTTATTTCAGTGAAATTAGAAAATTTTTAGAAAACCCTCTGTTTTAGAATTACATTCAGATTCTTGGTACCCTTAGAAATGACAGACTGCTCTTTGAGTATTTATTTATGTATTTATTTTAAATATTTGTTTTTAGTTTTAGGTGGGCACAATATCTTTATTTTACATTTATGTGGTGCTGAGGTTCGAACCCAGGGCCTCATGCATGCTAGGCGAGCACTCTACCACTGGGGCTGGGGATGTGGCTCAAGCGGTAGCATGCTCGCCTGGCATGTGTGCAACCCGGCTTCGATCCTCAGCACCACATACAAACAAAGATGTGTGTTCGCCGAAAACTTAAAAAAAAAAAATTAAAATTCTCTCTCTCTCCCTCTTAAAAAAAAAAAAAAAGCCTTAGTGAATCAGGTGGTTAAATTGTTAACACCAATATTACTTTTTAATGTGCCAGGCAAGCTCTCTCTGCCACTGAGCCAAAACCCCAGCCCTACTTGATAAGACTTTTAAAGGATGCTTTTTTTTTTTTTTTTTACACAAGTCTACTTTCACTTAATTGACATTTGTAACTTAGTGTTAGATCTTAAAATTTCCAGTAAACAATATATAATCCTTTTGTGAAATTTATAAGAAATTCATATAATTCATCCATTAATGCATAATTAAAGATATATTTTTAAAATTCACAGGGCTAGTCAGGCACAGTGGTGTATACRTGTAATCCCAGCTACTTGAGAGACTGAGGCAGGAGAATCAAAAGTTCAAGTAACTTYTGATTAGTAACAACTAATTTAAGACCCTGTCTCAAAATAAAAAATAAAAAGGGCTGGGGATATAATTCAGTGGTAGAACATCCCTAGGTTCAATTCCCAGTATCATAAAAAACTTAAATTTAGATAAAATAAAATTCACAAGGCTGGGTAGCAATAGGACACTTACCTAGCATGAACAAGGCCCTGGCACTACAAATATAAAATTAAAGAACCCCTCTCACCCCCCCCCCGCCATAATAGTTTTCCATAGCTGTATAACAAATTACCACAAACTTTTGGTAGTTTGAAATAACATGCATTTACTATCTCAGGAGTCCAGGCATGTTTTAGCTGGGACTTCTGCAGCACCATAATCAAGGTTTGGCCAGTGTTGAATTCTCATCTGGAGCTTCAACTGGGAAAGGGGCTGTTTCAGAGCTCTTTCAGGTTTTTTGGAGAATTCATTTCCCTGCTGTTGCAGACTGAAAGCCTAGCTTCTTAAGAAGCTGCTTCCTGCTAGTGGTCATCCTCAGCCCCTTGCCAGTGGACCTTTCAACATAACTACAAAGGGAAAAGTCTCTTTGGTCGGTTTTCTAGCTTGAGGGAGTCTTATATAATGTAGCATMATCATGAGGTGACATCCCATCACCTTCATCAGATTCTTTTTTTTTTATTTGTTCTTTTCAGTTATACATGAACAGTGGGATGTATTTTGATGTATCATACATACATGAACTATAAATTCCCACTTTTGTGGTTATACATGATGTAGAGTTACACAGGTCGTGTATTCAGATATGAACATAAGAGAGTTATGTCCAATTCATTCTACCGTCTTTCCCTTTCCCACCCCCATCAGATTCTTTTCATTAGAAGTAAGTCATAGGTTCTGTCCTTGCTCAATAGGAGGAAGCACGACACTGTGACTGTCAGAGGCAAGGATCATAGGAAGTCACCTTAAGAGTCTACCCACCTGGCTAGAGTGCTTACCTATGAGCCATGTGGATTCCCAGCAACACACCCACACATACACAACCACACACACGCACAGAGTCTGCCCGCCACACTTCTAATAAGGCGAATCCTAAACATGATTTTTTTAAAAAAGCACCTTAAATTGCCAGATTATAATCACTGATGCTTTTTTCCATAAAAATTTGAACATTTTCAATATATATATATATATATATATATATTTTTTTTTTTTTTTTTTTTTTTTTTTTGCTGATGAACCTTCTTTATTTTATTTATATGTGGTGCTGAGAATTGAATCCAGTGCCTCACACATGCTAGATAAGTGCTCTACCACTGAGCCACAACACCAGGTGCATTTTCAACTTTTATAAAACAAAAATAAGCTACTGTTTCTTCATCCTTTTGATTTTGTACTGGGGATTGAACCCAGGGCTTCACACATGCTATGCCAGCACTCTACATTGAGCTACATCTTCATTCTTTATTTATTTATTTATTTATTTATTTATTGTATTTTGAGGTCAGGTCTAAGTTGCACAAGCTGACCTTGAACTAATCATGATCCTCCTGCCTCAGCCTCCAGAGTAACTAGAATTTCAGGCATGTACCAACCATGCCTCAATAGCTTCTTCTCTTTCAGAACACAGTTTGGGGACCAAGACTGATCCTTAAAATAACCTCCATTAATAGAATTTTCAGGCTTTTTATCTCAATGATAGAGTGCTTGTCTAACATTGTAAGGCCCTGGGTTAGATCCTCATTGGGGGTGAGGGGATTTTCTACTTACTATTCATTGATTGGTTTTTAGAAGTCCAAAAAGTCACTTCAGGAATGGAGTTAACGATTTAAATAATTTCCCACTAATATTTGCAAGAAAAGCAGTAGATAACATATGCAGTACCAAAATGCATCTTCAGAAAAAAGCATGGAAGGCTTTTGGGTTATTTTTCTTCTCCTACCAAACCAGAAAATACAGAGGATCCTACTAAGACAGACAGATAGACAGACACACACACATACACACACACACACACACACACACACACACACACATGCAAGCATGGTAATAGGTAAAGTTCTAGAACTTGTTTCTAAGAGCAAGGATTTTTATGCTCATGCAAATTTGTATTGTAGCACACTTTGAAAATGCACAATTTAATTCTGAAGGATTCTGTTGTTATGGTGATTGCTATTAATTCTTAATGATGACAAGCAACTTTGCTGTTCTTTACAGTTTGTCCAAAAACCATTAATGTGGGRCTGGGGATGTGGCTCAAGCGGTAGCGCGCTCGCCTGGCATGCGTGCGGCCCGGGTTCGATCCTCAGCACCACATACCAACAAAGATGTTGTGTCCRCCGAGAACTAAAAAATAAATATTAAAAATTCTAAAAAAAAAAAAACATTAATGTATGGGCTTACTTACAGGTATCAGCAAACACAGAAGATTCTTCTATGAGTGGCTATTTGTACAGATCAAAGGGCAATAAGAAACCATGGAAACACTTGTGGTTTGTCATAAAAAATAAAGTGTTGTATACATATGCTGCAAGTGAGGTAAGATGTGAAATCTAAAGATGAGTAATTTGGGGGTCTTGTTTTAGTTTGTGTACGTTTTATTGCTCTGCTTTTGTTTGTTTGTTTGTTTGTTTGTTTTGGTTTTTGTGTTGGTGGGGGTAGAATCCAGGCCCTCCCCCAGCTCCTTGTTGCTTTGGTTTGGAGCAAGGTGGTGTCATTTTTAATGGGTACCTAGTAGAGAGCTCTTACTCACCTTACTCACCTGTTAAGAATTTTCCACAGTAATAAAGTACAAGTCTTCCTGGGTGACTACTACCACTTCACTAAAGGCAGAGCRTCTTATCCCTTTGAGGCAGAGACAAAGGTCAGGCAGTCAGTGTAGGTAATGAACAATGGGGGTCAGGTCAAGAGGCTGAGGACTGGTTTTCAAAGAGAGAACAATGGGTTGCTAACGGTTAACCTCCTCTTGTGCTCCTCTGCACTATGGGTTGCTAACAATTAACTTCCATGCTCCTGCTCCCAGTCACTTACACAGGRAAGAAAGAGAAGGCAGTGATTAAAGAGTGGGGTTATGAGGTCTATAAGAAAGGCAAGTCCACCCCGCCCACAGGCTTTCGGCTCCAAGGCCCCCTTCTCTTTAAAGAAATCTGTCTCTATCACTTTCTTAAATAAAACTTGCTCTACTTGCTTTGGCGTTTCTCTGGTGTGAGTTCTTCAACACTGGGAAACAAGAAACCATTCCTGATCTCCACTGCACCAGTATCACTTTCTGTCCAGCTCTCTTGAGTGACACACTCAGGACTGTCCCTGTTAACACAAAAGGGACTGAGCTTGATGCAAACTTCACGGATCAGCACAGCTTTTATTTAGGGATGGAGTGACGCCTCTGATGGACCCACTTTCCTTGTGGAAAATGAGCCACGGGCCAGAGGGGGAGTTTAGGCTTATATTGATTACACTGAGAAGTGACTTAATTAATGAGCATGTCAGTTTGGGCTGTCTTTACTGGGCCAAATGGAGGGTGTGATGTTAGTGGTTAGTGTCTGGGAAAGAATKTATTTAAGGTGGAATCAATGTTCTGGCCTCTTCCCAGAAACTATCATTTCAGACTTGATAAATATCTCCTCCCCAGGGCCTGTCTTGTCACTGGGAAAGACTGTCTCGGGAAAGGATCAATGTATTGCCTTCTCCCTCATTCCTTCTCCCTAGGCCACATTATTTTGGGGTTTGTCGTTTTCCATATCCAGCAGYCCCCTGATTATATTGGTCAGGCCTCAGCATAATAAAATAGGCTTTGGGTTATGAACAGTTTCTAGCTGTTGCTGAAATTCTGTCCTTTTCTTCTACCCGAAGCCTCTGGTGTTCTCACAGCCTAGAAAAACCTCCAGGGTCCAAGCTGTTCCTTAGGAGGATCTGGGTAACTCACCTTTCCAAGCTGTGCTTCTCCATCCATAAAATTAAAGTAATATAGTCACTTATTTTCCTTGGCTGTAGTGAAAATAATGTGAAATTCAATGAATGTGAACATGCTGAAATTTTCTAGCACAGTATCTGGAGGTGGGGAGTGGATGGCTCAATAAATATTGTGGAATAAATTAAAAATGCATAATAGAATTTTTTTAGATATATGTATATGAAGTTAATTTGGAACTACATTGATCAAAAGCTCTCAAGTCTGAATTGTGTCTCAGTTTAAAAGCCCATCTTTATTTGTCTATTTTTAAATTAGGATGTGGCAGCTTTGGAGAGCCAGCCTTTATTAGGATTCACTGTCACTCAAGTCAAAGATGAGAATTCAGAGTCTAAAGTATTTCAGTTACTGCACAAAAACATGTTATTTTATGTGTTCAAAGCAGATGATGCTCACTCAGCTCAGAAGTAAGTAATGTAGACTTATTTTCCTTTTATATGTGAGATTTCAAGTTTCCTATTTAAATGATTGACTTTAAGATTACCTTCTTTAAGGCATGGGGACAACTCAGAATTTAAACCATGGGTCCAAATTAGACAGATTTAATATATTATTCAAACTCTTTAGAATTGTTCTAAAACAAAGGAAAGCAAGGGTATCTGGAATAGTTTCAGGAGACAGATGGGAAAAGAAGATGGGTAGTCCTGTCCAAAGTATTCTGTCCACACATGACCTCAGAGGAAGCAGCATGGTGCAGCTCTGCTGAGGAAGGGAAGCTGAGGCATCTGACCTCTCCATCACTGAGGCTAAGAATCTTCCCTTGAAACATTCCAGGGCTTTGGCCATCCAGTGATTCAATTATGCTGTGCAACAGCAGGAGTTGAAACAGCTGCTTACAAACTTACTTCTCTGAGAAAAAGGTCAAACATGTAAAGAGGCTCCATGCTGTTTTCAGTGACTGAGTAGAAGGAAATGGATATCATTTTAGATGGTGAAAGCTGAAAGCCTCTTCAACATTCCAACAGGAATCTTGATTTATTTAGATGTTATAAAGTTGTTTAACAGATTAGAGGAGGTGTATGTATCTTTGTGAAATCAGGATCCCTGCTGAACAAAGTAGATCAGTTCACCTCTTTTTCATTTTGAGTTGTACTTTGGCTCACAAAATACATTTTTGTGTTTTTCATAAGAGATGTATGTTCATGTTTTCTCGGTGGGCTTTAATGTGCTTGAAGATTTAAAAAAAAAAAGAGTGCTTTGAATAAGCAAGTCTGGTGGTTTCTTAAGGCAATTAGAATCTACATATCAGAATTGCCTGTGTTCTGACTGCTAACCAGATACATACAGTGTAGCTTAGTGGCAAAGTGCTTGCCTAGCATGCATGAGGCACTGGGTTTGATCCTCAGCACCACATAACAATTAACAAATAAAACAAAGGCATTCTGTCCATCTACAACTACAAAAAAAAGTTTTTAAATAAATAAAGATATTGTGTCCATCTACAACTAAAAAAACCATGCTGTAAGGCTGCCCCCACCCTCCACCCCTGGCCAGTTTTAGGATGTTCTGTAGTGCATAGCTGTTTTTCTGGTTCTTTTTTTTTTTTTAATATTTATTTTTTAGTTCTCGGCGGACACAACATCTTTGTTTGTATGTGGTGCTGAGGATCGAACCCAGGCCGCACACATGCTAGGCGAGCACGCTACCAYTTGAGCCACATCCCCAGCCCCTGTTTTTCTAAATAATTCTCTGTGGGTATTGAAAAATATTTTAAAATTATATTACTTTACTCTTTTTTTCTGTAAAAAATATTTGGACAAAATAGTAATCACCCTAAGATTCTGCAACATATTGTCTTTCTCATAATTTTCATCTATATTTATCATGAAACCGATAAAAATTATTGCTTTTCAAATACATGATCTTTTGCTTATACCATTAAGTTGACTCAAAGTTGAGTCATTAAGTTAACTGAAAGGCTGTTAAAACAGAATTAAATGTAATTGGGTGAAAAAAATCAACTTACTTATAATTTAGAATTGATCCAAGCTAAATTGTAAGTTTCTCTTTGAAGCTATTTATATCATATGGATTGCATTTTTTGTACATGACAGAATATTAAAATGTGTTAATTTTACTGGAAAATTGTGAGACACTTTAAAAGTTTTGCTATTACAACTTATAGGCTATTTATGTACAAAATTCAAAAATTTTTAAATTTTGCCCTTGAAATTCGACCAGAATCTATTATGGGGTGTTCTTACTAATTAAAATGGGTGATTTCAAATGTTCATAGTTGCCTGGACCCCCCCCCCCACCACCACCACCACCACCACCATTTGTTGTTGTTGTTGTTGTTGTCATTCTGGGGATTGAATCCAGGGGGCACTCTACCACTAACTAACTGAGTTATATCTCCAGCCACCCCTACCGCCAGCTTTGAATAAGGCAAAGATGACATTTTAAAATGACTTTATTTTATGTATTTATTTTCATGTGGTACTGAGGATCGAACCCAGTACCTTACATGTGCTAGGCAAGTACTCCACYACTGAGCCACAACCCCATACCCTTTTTATTTTTTGAGATGGGGTCTTGCTAAGTTGCTGATTTGCAATCCTCCTACCACAGTCTTCAAGTTGCTGAGTTAGAAGTGTGCACCATAGCGCCAGGCTGGACTAGAAATTATATTTCAGGAAAAAAGGGAAAAATAAGTTCAGAAGCAATAAGACTAATAGGTATGGAAAACAAACTACCCCCAGTGCCTAATGAATAATTACAGCTGTGTTTATTGTCGAATTAAAACATTGAGACTAAAGAATTTTGGAAAGACTTCTGTGAAATTTTGAAAAGCTTTCATATTGCATGTAGAATTTTGATCAATTGGGAGTGGACTAAATGCCATATTGATGTCCTTTAATGAAAAGTATTGGGACCAGTCTGGAGTAGGGTAGGAGATATCCAAAGAAATTCTGGTAGGGTCAAGGAGGAGGAAGCAGGCACACAGCTACGGTTCTTACTAATACTGAGTCAGAACACCAGAAAAGAGAAAAGGAGTTGTAATAAAAGCCTTTGCTGATATAGCTACTTCCATAACCAATTACATGGGAGCATCGGGACTTCATAGAACTTTTTACACATGAAATGTTCCCTTTCGCCTGCCTCATAATCATAAGAGAGACACTTGGCAGGCCAAATTTTGAACCATATTACCAAATAAAAGGCAGTTCCATGTATACAAGGATTTTAGTTTGCCCTAAGATCTTAAATATCCTGTCATGGTAATCCAGTCTACAGGCCCAGTTATGATCCATATTGTGCTCACATATATCAGATGACTGGGTTTTACACATCTAACAGATTTCTCTTATTAACAGGTGGATAGAAGCATTTCAGGAAGGCACAATATTATAGCAGTATTGGTTTCATCTTTTCTGTGATTCCAAGGAAGTGGAATTTCATCAGAATGGAGTAAAAGCAATTCAAGCATTTTATAAAAGTAAACACTGCCAAGATAAATCCAACCAAACACTTCATCAGATATAAGAAATTATTTTGTTAGGTATAAGGAGTTTTTTTAATTAATGTTTGCTTTTTCATGTATGTTATTTATTAAAGTTGTGATGTTTACTTAATGGTCAGAATTGTTTCTGAGATGCACACTGAATTCTAAAGTACCATAATACCTTAATATTATATACAGTGTTAATTATTTGTGACACAGTCCACATCATTTTCTCTGCTTTTACACTGTGACATTTTCACTAGTGACAAATCTTTGTAAGTTAAAAAAAAAAAACACATCAAGAAGCAAATTTCCATGTGGTGCTTGGTTTAGAAATTAAGATTATCATAAAAATGCTGGTGAAAAATGCATATCTTTGAATTAATAAGTTAGATGAATTTTTTTAATCTTTCAATGAAAAATATATGGCTAGTTTCTACCTCAGTAACTGTGAAATGAAATTTCAGTAAATTGTCTAAAGTATTTCTACCTTATGTATGTCTTCTGGCATGAGTTAATATTAATCATCAAAGAATTATAACAAAGGAATAGAAATCTGACTTTTATCAAACTGTGAGTAGGAATGAGGATGTTTTCATTTGCAGAGACACAAGTAATCAACTCTATGGGCTTTTCATTAATTGAGTATTTTTTTAAATAGCAAAATATGGCAAGTATTATTTTATATAATATTCCCTGCTATTTTGAGAATTCTGAGCCCAAGTCAGGTATTTATAAGTGTTACATTTCCTATAATGTTGAGCTTTAAAAAAAAATGAACTGGAATTACCATGTTAGAAAAGCACAAATTCTAAGCCAATATCAACTGAAAATGTATAGTATTCTTTTTCATTTGTGATGTGACCTTGGTAATAAAAATACCTTTTTTTAACTATCTGTGCACCTACATTGCTAATTCTGGCATACTATTGTTTAATATATGAACCATCTTATGCATAAAATTGTGCATAAACAATAGAAAAATAAAATCAATGGCTGAGGTTGTGGATCAGTGGTAGAGTCCTTGCCTAGCACGTGTGAGGCACTGGGTTTGATACTCAGCACCACATAATAAATAAGTAAAATAAAGGTATTGTGTCCATCTATGACAAAAAAAATTTAAGAAAAATGAAATCAGCACAGTGATTAAAGTTGTTCCTGATATTCATAATATATATTTTGTCTACTGAGTTTAAATTATAAGTTATCTTAAAAGGCAAGGTTATCTATAGACTGTATCATTAAAGGGTACAAGAATTTTCTGCTTCATTGTAAAGGATTTTCTAATTCATTGTGATACTGATAGTCAAAAGAATTATATCCTGAATGCCTTCACAGGGCCTTTTAGATGCAAACAAACTAGATCTAGAGTTGGTAGCTATAGTCTTTTCTGGCTATTTCCTGCTATGGCATTGTCATAATCCCTATGCAGCCTTCCACACAATTCTAACATGCTATCCTCCCAAGTATTTTTGTCACATCAGGTAAACTGATATTTCTTTGTAGCTCACTTTAATCAAGATCACATAAATTAAGTTTTCCACCTTAACACCTCTGCATTTTTAGTATATTCTTTTTGGAGGCCAATGAATGCCTAATAAATATTTCCTTCTGTTGCACTGTCTGGCATTTAGCAATACAACAGATTATTTGGGGTTCTTATTCCTCCTTGAGTTCTTGGCCTTTAAAATTTGGCATAAATCTCAGGATCTAAAAATTATCAGCCAGACTATTCTATCTTTGACATCTGGCTGAATAAAATACCAGACTAGCCCAGTGTAGTGGCTTGCATCTATAATCCCATCAATTTGGGAAACTGAAGCCGGAGGATTGCAAGTTTGAGGACACCCTTGGCAATTTAGCAAAGCCCTAAGCAATTCAGCAAGACCCTGTCTCAACATAAAAAATAAAAAGGGCTGGGGGCTGGGGTTGTGGCTCAGCGGGAAAATAGTCACCTTGCACATGCAAGACGCAGGGTTCTATCCTCAGCACTACATAAAAATAAATAAGTGAAATAAAGGTATTGTGTCCAACTACAACAAAAGAATTCAATAAATAAATAAAAGAGCTGGGACTATAACTCAGTGGTTAACCACCCCTGAGTTTAACCTCTTGTACCCACCCAGACACACACAAAGTAAACATACATAGAGAATACAAAGCTAGCACAGACTTTAATTACATGTGAAACTCATGTATAACTGTATTCTCTTAGCCATTTTGAAAAATATAAAATAGAAGGCATCAGATTATTCATCCCCATAAAGTAGTTTGTTAAATAGTGTTAGATTCTCTCCYGCCCCCTGTATCAGTCCTTGATAACTTACTAAAGATGATCAATTATTATTTATTTAATCTGGCTCACTCAGTGCTAACTGAGAACCCAGTTACTTACAATCTGTTTTAAACTATTTTTAAAAACATCTCTTGATAGCTAACATTTTAAAGGAAAAAAATGATATGGGGTACAGTCTATAAGTGTGGATAAAGYATAAGTCTCTAGATCCCAAGAGTACTATATTTATTACAGATATATGTGTTTCCATGAAACCCTTTTTAGTGTCTCCTTTTGTTTATAAGGAGAGAGGCAGTTATATATCTAAGCTGAAAATAATCTAGACAAGATGCCAGCTAAACTAGGGGAAAAGACAGCATTCTTGCAAGTATCCCAACCAACAGTCTTCTTTTATATGTAGCAGCTTTAAATGCAGAGGACCACCAGAGTCCAAAGAAAATGGAAAGGTTGTCATGATTTCACTTGTCTGAACCTCTTTCCAATCTCTTTTCCTGTTTTCTAATGTAGCCAATATCCTCCTACTGTGCTTTGGCTGCCCAAGATACATACTTCCCTCTTCTCCAACTGGATGTTTGAATATTTAGTAGTTTTTTGTTTTGTTTTGTGTGGGGATTTTTGCTGTTTTATATTTGTTGTATTGGGATTGAATCCAGGGCCTACACATGCTAGACAAGTACTCCATCACTGAGATACGCCCCCCCCAGCCCCTCTTTGTTCATTTGATTTTGAGACAGGGCTCACTAAGTTCCCCAGGCTGGACTCAAACTTGTGATCTTCCTGCCTCGGTTCTCTGATTTGCGAGGATTACAGGTATGTACCATCCTGCCTAGGCAACAAGCTCTTATTTTTTTT